GGGGGGGTCCAGCTGCAGCCAGATGTTTGTCCCCCCCAGGGGGCTGGTAGGACAGAGCCAGCTGTGCGGGGTGGCCAGAGCTGCAGTGGGCAATGCTCGGGGACCCGAGCATTGCCCACTGCAGCTCTGGCCACCCCGCACAGCTGGCTCTGGCCACCCCGCACAGCTGGCTCTGGCCACCCCGCACAGCTGGCTCTGCTCGGGTTATGGAGGACCACAGCCTTGGTTGCTCCTCCTTGGGCACCGCCTGGGTTGCAGCGACGACATTCGCCGTATTCCCCAAGGGCCAGCTGGCCTCATTTTGCCCAATCTCCTGTTACAGACAAATTATATTATATCTGAAGCTGAATAGATTCTTCATATGGCATGTTGCTTTTTTTTTCTTATGGCTTTTTTTTTTTTCCCCTTACTTTTCCACTTACTTACTGGAAAGGGCTACTGAGGAGAAAGATCTGGGAGTCCTAGTGGACAGCAAACTTTCCATGAGCCAGCAATGTGCCCTTGTTGCCAAGAGGGCCAATGCAATCCTGGGCTGCATAGGGAAGAGTGTGGCCAGCAGGTCGAGGGAGGTAATTCTCCCCCTCTGCACTGGTGAGGCCACAACTGGAATACTGAGTCCAGTTCTGGGCTCCCCAGTTCAAGAGGGACAGGGAACTACTGGAGAGAGTCCAACGTAGGGCAACTAAGGTGATTAAGGGATTGGAGCACCTCCCTTACGAGGAAAGGCTCAGAGAGCTGGGGCTCTTTAGCCTAGAGAGGAGAAAACTGAGGGGAGACCTCATCTATATTTACAAGTATCTAAAGGGTGGGTTGAAGGAGGATGGAGCTGGACTCTTTTCAGTGGTTCCCAGTGATGGGACAAGGGGCAACGGGCACAAGCTGGAACATGGGAAGTTCCATTCAAATACGAGGAAAAACTTCTTTATGGTGAGAGTGACAGAACCCTGGAACAGGCTGCCCAGGGAGGTCATGGAGTCCCCTTCTCTGGAGATTTTCAAGACCCGTCTGGATCCAATCCTGAGTGATGTGCTCTGGGCAACCCTGCTTTGGCAGGGGAGTTGGACTAGATGACTTCTAGAGGTCCCCTCCAACTCTTGACAATTTTGTGATTCTGTGAAAACCCATGACAGACACTCAGCCCCCCGATGAGCCTGCAATATACCACCTAATGCACACTTAGCACCAGCCCTTCAAAGTGTAAGGGGGTGTCACAAGTCTGTGCAGGTGACAGTGAGATCAGCGGCCTTAGCCAGCACTCAGGATCATTTGCCAACGGCCCCACTAGCCCATCTGTGGTAGAGATAGCAGCACAAAGGCCAGGACACCTGCAGAACAGCTGGCATTTTCAGGGCACTGCTGCAGTGACATGAGAGCTTCCTGGGTAGACTGAGCTTTAGTGCGAAGGCCATCTCAGCTGGGGCATAACCATCCTCAGAAAGATTTTCTCCTGCACCTGCAAACTCGTCAGTAAACACAGTATTGACACTTGCTCCATTTCTTGGATCACCATACTGCTGGTAGGAGGCATCAGGCAAAGGTCGCTGGTTTCCATGCAGCTCCTCTTTTTTGGTCTCTCTGGGTTTTGGTGTGAATCAAAGGAGCAGAAATCTTTTATTTATATATCAAAACAGATTCAACTGAAGAAGGTTTGTTAGGCAAACTAGGTAGCAGCGTAAGATGGCTGTGTGAGTGGATTTCTGTTGGCTTCTTCCTGGGAAGGAAAGTTTGATTTTTTTATTTTTTTAGAAGTGTTAGTACCATTTACCTTTTGGCCCAATCTGGGTATTAAATGATATAAACTGGGAATTTACTACGTGACCCCATTCATTGCATATCATTTAATTGAGCCTTTTAGTGTGACTGATGTGTATGTCAAGTGGGTGGGAAGGAGCGTGCATTAACACTGTTGACTTGGCTTATTGACAGTGAATTACAACGCTGCGCCGGTGTTTAAATACGTGCTCAGCAAAACCTGGCTCTGGGAACTTGGGGTGCTAGCTCCGGCTGGGCGAGACCCCTGCAGCCACGGTGGAGGGGATGCAGCGGTGAAGGAGGCTGTTCCCCTGGTGGGCTGCATCCCGGTGGGGTGTGCTTGCTGTGGTGGGGGCGGTGGGAATGGCTGTGGTGGGAGCGGTGAGTCAGTGGCAGACTCAGCCCCCTCCCGGGTACCGCAGGCGTGGGGTTGATTCAGACGCCTTGGGCTGGCTGTCGCACGCCGGCAGCCTCGCTCCTGCTGGATTCACGCCGAATGCCCAGTGGGGATGGTGGAGCCAGCAGAGCTGACACGGTGCAGAGCTCAGGACGAGGAAGAGCTCCTCAGCAGCCGGTGGGACCTGCCTCTCTTTTGGGGCTGTCCTACATTGGGGCTGGTCCACAGCTGGGAGGCACACGTGGGTTGACCTCCTGCTGCAGGCAAGCTTCATCCGACGTATGGAGGGGCTGCACTGCTTCTAGAGCTGGGTTTTAACTCTGCCTGAGGGCAGCTGTGTCTCCCACCTGGACTCCAGGAGCCCCTTTGGCAGTCCCACATGTGCCATGGGTTGCATACCTTCTGAAAATTGGTCTGCCATTGGTAAATTGGCAATCAGACCCTCTGCTGGAACGCAGCCACATGAAATAATCCTAAGCCACCGATGTTGCACTGGCTTTCCCCAAGAGCTGCCCTTTAATGATTGCTTCCAAAAGGTCAGGAAAGCCATCAGAAGCTCCAATTAGCTGTGACTGGCCTGGGGGACAGAGTGATACAGATGCTTTTTGAATAGGACAAAGGACTGAGCAAGGAGAAAACAAATTTCCCAGTCACTTCTCTGTTAATGCCACCTCACTGCCATCCAGCTGTGCTTTGCCCTTCTGCTGAAGTCCATCAGGCACCAAGAGCTGGGTTTCAGCTGGGTCAGTGTGCTGTGGAGAATCCAGCCTCTTCTTTTCCCCCTTTACGATAGCCCACCATCACAGCACCTTCCTTTGGGGGCAGGGAGCTTCATGGAGAAAGGACTCCCAGTCCTCACATCTGCCTATCGCCCATTCCTTCTCCTTCCACACCCACCCTTCTTCAGACCAGGCTCCCTGTTTTTAATACAGCCTTTGCCTTTGTCATCCGTACACCAGTGCCTCCCAGGAAATACAGCTTCCCTGCCCTTGGTGCCCTTCTTCCTCCTGCTTTGTGCCAGAGGATGCCCTGCTGCTGCCACCTCCACCCTTTCCTGACTCTCATTCTGAAACAGTTACTGTCTTCTCACAACTGCTTCAAGTGCATTAGAAGAAGCCTTTGCTGACACATTTGCTGCAGTGCAGTGTGAATCATTTTGTTCCTCTCCTCTAGTTCTTGGCATTTCACAGATCTCCTCTCTCCCCCCTTTTGCAGGTTCCTTTGCAGGCCCTTCTTCAGATGTCTTCTGGAGGGGGAAGGACCAAAGCCAGATACGATGCTTTCAGGGAGAGAGGGGCTTATCCTGAGCGAGGCAGCACAGGCTGGGAGGGCAGAGGAGAAGGGAGCAGCCTGGTGCAGGGGATGGACATAAGATATTTGTTTTATCTGGGAAGCACTGTCTGTCTCACACCCTTCACAAAGGGGGAGCTGTTTGGGATCAAAGCACTCTTCAGCTGGGGGATGTTGCAGCAGTTGGCTTCTGTGCAGGAGGTTATCACAGCATCTTTTCCACTCTGCTGTCATACAAGGCCCCCTTTGCACTGGGACATCCTCTTGGTCTTGCAGGAAGCTGTCCTCACCTCTGACATTGCCAGCAACCCATCTGCCTCATGCTTCTTTTAGGTGACCTGCAGTCTCTAACTGCCCAGCTGTGCACTGCAGCCCTGTTATGTCCAGGTAGCCCCAGTAAGGATCAGCCTGTGTCTGTATGCCCCAGGAGATGCTCATCAAGCCTGGGTGCTCCTGTTGAACCCAGAACTGAAGGGGCAGACTCCTTCCTACTGTCTTCTCTGCCTCTTTCAGCCTGGTGGGGCTGGTAAGGGAACTGCAATAACCATACACATGGGATCCTGATGGCTGAGAGCGCTGGTCCTGAGTTGGGGTAGGAAACAGCAAATGGGAAACTTTGGTCTAGGAAAGCTCTGCAGAACTAATAGGACTGAGCATCCTGCCTTCTGCTCCGGGCTTGTTCTTTTCCCTCATATCTGCTTAGGCTCAGTGCGGTCTAAACAAGTCTGACCCATCTCACCAGTTAATGGATGTTTGGAAGGAGTTCAGCTGGAGAGTAATTGCAAAAAGCAGAAAAAGCCCAAACCCAAATACATTTATTGTGTATTCATCTGTAAAGTATCTGTCTTTAAAGAGGCCTAAGAACAGGCATACTGGATCAAACTAGGGGATGGTCAGGCTCAGTATCCCACCTCTGACAGTGGCTAGAAGCAGATGCCTGGAGAAAAGTAAAAAAACAATGCAAGTATGTGTGTTTCTTTCCTCCCAGCGCTCCCCCTGCCTCCAGCTGTGTTCAACTCACGCTGAGCCAGATGTGGTTTCTGTGCACTGGATCTCTCAGGGGGTTTCTATTCCATGGTTTTGTCCTGGAACCTGCACAAACTCTCAGCATCCACAACATCCTGTGGCGAGGAACTCCCCAGTTCAACTGCAGAGAGTGTGAAGAACCATCATTTTCCTTTGCTTTAAACCTAGCTCCTGCCAGCTTCACCTATTTCTTTGATTGGAAAAGACAGTAAACAATCAATTCCTGTCCATCCTCTTCAACAGCACACTGAATTAACACCACATTATTATCTGCTTATTACACGTGGTGCCTAGAGACCTCTTTGTACAGGGCAGTGTATAAAGATAAGGCTGAATAATAGTTGTTTTGCTGCAGTGCTTCCAGTCCAAGCAGAGGAGGCAGGCAAAGGGCAGGGGCCAAGTGTGTTACAGGAGAGCAGACCATTCTTATCACTGGCCTCCTTCTAAAGTTGCCTTTTTCTTTCACAGGCAGCCCAGCTGGAAAATGTGGCAGTGACTCCTGCTCTCAAGCAATTTTCCTCCTGCTTCTCCTGAGGGAGAAGTGGGTCCTGAGCGGGATGCAGCAGCCAGCTGCTCCCTTGGTGTACCCATCCCAGACCATCCTGGCTGCTGACTCCCACTGTACACACCGTGTCATTGAGGATCCCGAGTGGTCCCTTGCCACTGTCCCCCACCTCACGGAGCTCTGCATCCAGCACATCGTTCACAATTTTGAAAGTAAGTGGGAGTGTGTTTCCCTTGGGCTGCATGGAGAGAGTGTGTCAGTCCCGGGGAGCAGAGGGTCAACGAGGCAGGCAGATGCATCTGAAAGGCAGAGTGTGGTACCCAGCCCTGCCAAAGGAACAGATGGGGAGAAGTGTCCCCTCAGGCAGCTAGTTAAACAAACCATTTAGTTACTAAGTACGAACTTGTACATTCCAGGGATGGCTGTAGTCCTCTGGACTGCTATCCAGGGTGTGACTCTGCCCTAACCTTGCCCTATCGTTTCTTCTTCCTTCTGTGCTCTGCTGGACTCACTTACCTCAACTGTGGCCAAGGCTGAGGAGCTGCTGTTTCCTTCTCTTGATTCCTGTACACATTACAGTAGCACTCAAGGATGGAGCCCTGTTGTGCTGAGTGCTGTACAGAGAGATGGAGAATTGATCCCTCCCCAGAGGAGCTACCATCTCAGAATATGTATTGTACTCCGTTTCAGGCCTTCTCCACGGCTCTTAGTGGCGATGTGACAAGTTATATCCTCAGGCAGGGAATGTGCTTTTGAAACAAATGGACTGATGAAGAATAGCAAGACAGAAAAAACATGTCTCACCTGGGAACTGGATGGGAGAGGGGTCTTTTTGGCTGGCTGAGTGGAGTGGCAGCAAAGACCAAGGACAGGTCTAGGGCTATGTCCGTGTTGGGACAGTAGAGGGGAGCTCAGTGCTGCCCTATGCCAGGAGCTGATGGTACTTGGGGATCTGAGCTGGGACACCCTCACAGTCCTATCAGCCTGATCTGCCAGTCTGATGTCAAATGGATTGGAGCGATGTTGGGTGCACATAAAAGCAGTGTGTTTGCTGTCTTGGGGACCCTCATGCCATTACCTGAGCTGTGGCCTGAGTGGGCAGGAGTGAAGCTAGCCCAGTTCTGCCCATACATATCCCACCTCTGCTTGTGTTGTGGGACGCTGCAGAGAAAGTCACTGCAGTGCCAGCTGTAGGACAGTGGAGAACAGACTCCAGGAAAAGGCTGTAGTAAAACTCTGGGTGTCCTTGGGAAGGAAATGCTACAGACACAGAGGAAATATAAAGCTAACCCCACTTTGTATTTTGAAATCTGATTTCCCATGCACCTTTCCACTGATGATTGCTGTCATTCAACACTACTGTGCACATGTCACTGAGCATTCATGGTGTGAGTACACATGGCTTTTCTCTGGTGTTTCTTACCACAAAGAACTTCCACCAGACAGAAGCCAGCCAAGACTTAGGGTGAGTATCAGGAAAGAGCCTGAAGGGAGAAAGAGAACTTTTGTTTAAACAAGGTGAACCTAAAGGCTAAGAGTATGTCGTAGTGGAAAGGAACAGGAATCTGTTTGGGGTAAGACAAACACATGAGTTAAGATAAAAAGGCACAAGGACTTGCACGAGGAGCACACAGGCGGTTGCTCTCAAATATTGTCCTTCAATATGCTTAGAAACCAAAGGGAGAAAGTTCAGCAAATGACAGGCCAAGATCTCCCATCCCTGTAAGGCTGAATTAGCTCTCTTGGAAGCAGAAGTCCTGCTCTGAATATAAACTGCATTTAAACTAAGTTTAAACTGGGAGCTAAGTTTCTGATGCAGATCCCAAATATTATGGGAGTAAACCCAATTACGCTGATGTTTTATTGTAAAAGTTAGAAATCCTACACAGAAATGTAGGAGATGAATCCTACACATTTTCTGGCAGCGTAGCTCCCTGCACCAGCTGCTGGCAACTGAGAAAAGAGTCAGTATCAGCAGAGGTGAGGGCATGGGCACACAGCTCAGGGCCCGGTCAGAACCATAGTGCCAGCCATGGTTCCTACAGCCCAGACTAACCTCTGCTCTTCTTCATCCCCTCCAGAGAACCCTATTTTCGACCGTCTTCTGCCTGAGCACCAAAAGAAGGTGCTGGACAGGCTCTCCACTGGCCTCCCACTCTCTGTGACTGCCAACCTAATAAGTGATGAGGACTACTGGAAGAGGTGTTGCACAGAGCGATGGCAAGTCTGTGACATCTCCAACTATGGAGACAGCTGGAAAAGGATGTTCTTTGAACGTCACCTGGAGAACATCCTGAAATGTTTCATCCCTAACACCACAGACCCCAACCAGGTCCTAGATCTCATCCCAATCTGCAAAGACTATGTGCAGAAACTGGAGGTTGATCAGTTCCTGCCACCATTGAAGGTGGATCAAAAGGAGGAGGAGGAGGACCTCGCTGATGCAGAGAGTGATTTTGAGGTCAGTGAGGTCTCCGTGCATCACTACAACCTGGGAGCCCTCATTACTGCTCTCCCTCACCTTGAAGAGCTTGATCTCACTTACGGCGTGAAGGACTGCGGCATGAACTTCGAGTGGAACCTCTTTAACTTCTCTTACCAGGACTGCTGCAACCTGGCTGCCGCTGTGAAGATGTGCCACAACTTGAAAGTAACGTGTTCCAAACTAAATCTTTCTTCCTCAGTTAGATATTCTAATTGCCTGGGGTAGAAACCCAGGGACCCATTCTGCTTGCTGGCAGCCCCCTTCCCTTTGGAAGTTACAGTCCGGCAGAGTGCAGAGATGATAACTTGCTGGCCCAATGCTGGGTATCTCTTTCTGCATATGTTTTGACTGTGATGGAGGGTGAGTTCTGCTGCTACTCTCTGCAGATGTTTGGGCAGCTTTATCTCGTTTTAATTTAGCCCCCTGTGTCAGAGATCCTATGGAGTCAGAGGAGAGGAACAGGGATTTCCAGAAGATGAGCCATTTCTCCCTAGAATAGGCATGGGACATCAGTACCATGTCCTGCCTGCTGGAAGTATCTGCCCACTATAAAAGCAACTACTTGACCCTACTGGCTAAAGGTGTCTGAAGTGAAGGGAGGTGAATCCTGTCTGGTGGGCCATGGGCTTAAATCTCTTGAGGTCTTGTACAAAGCTCAGTCCAAAGCGCTGGCTGTTTTAGTGTCCCTGTCCTCTATCCTCACAGGTTTTCAAGCTGACACGCAGCAAAGTGGACGATGAGAAGACCAGGCTTCTGGTCCGTAACTTGCTGGATCACCCCTGCTTGGTGGAGCTGAACTTGTCCCACAATCTGATCAGAGATAAGGGGGCACGAGCTGTTGGCAAGTTGATCAACCGCAGCAAATTAGAGATCCTTGATCTCTGTAACAACCAGATCCGTCACGTCGGGGCTCAGGCTCTTGCTCAAGCCCTGGCTGGGAACTCCACCTTGACCTCCCTGAATCTGCGCCTCAACTGCGTGGAGGATGAAGGCGGGGAGGCGATCGGCCGTGCCCTGCTGACCAACACCACCCTGAAGTCCATCCATCTGGGAAGTAATAACCTGTCAGAGCCAACTGCCATGCTTTTCTCCCAGGTCCTGGCTCAGAACACCACCCTGACAAGTATCAACTTCTCATGCAACCACCTGGGACTGGTAAGAGGAACCCCTTCTCCCTGCAGTTTGTGAGCCTGCGTGGTAGTCTTGCAAAGCAGATGCTGAGCCTGCCCTGCCTCGAAGCCACAGAGGCAAATGCATCCTTCACTTTGCAGTCTCACTGCAATAACAATCAGTCTGGGAGCAGGGAAGAGACTCTAGCAGGCGGCAGGAAGGAGAAGGACATCTCCTGTGCACGCACACGCATTTATCTCACTCATTACATCTAGCTCTGCTCACAGGGTTGAATCTGGCTTCCAGGTTTTGGGATTCTGGGTGAAGAGGGATTTTCCCCCCAGGAAGCTGAAAACCAAGGAGTGTGTCTGGGAAAAATCACAGCCACTTCACACACGTGGGAGTAGATAATAATGACGGGCTGCATGAGACGAGGGCCTTATGCATATCCTCTGTGCTTTGGATCTGCTGTGCCATCTGTCATTCAGCAGCACAAAGATAGTGCCACCCTTCCCAGAATCTCTCCTGTCCATCACGCACTCAGGGGAGACTGTTAGAAAATTGGCTCTGTCGCTGAGCTCCCTTAACTCACCCTACAGCTCTGGAGTGGTGTGGTAGGTCAAAAGTGTCACGTCTGGGTGCTTCTAAGTGGCTCCTAAACCACAAGCTTACATTTTCTAGACAGAGAGGTATCCACAGATCTTAATACATCCCTAAGAGCTGCAGTATGCAACGTGCCCACAAACCAGACTGCTTCTCTTCTGCTGATTAAAAAGAGCTTTAGAAATCTGAAACTAGACAGCCAAATGCAATCATGCTGGCTTTTAAACTTTCCGTGCTGCCTCAATTTTTCTCACTGTCACAATAAAGAGACAGCAAGACCAGCTGTCCCTGCTGGCAGGAATATTGGCATGAATGTGTTTGACAACGGTTTTAAAAAGATTTGATGGCAGAAAACCTTTTGTGAGTTCTGAGTTTTATGATCCCGGATGTGGAAAACCATTTGAGTTTAATGATACAAGGGGGTAAAGGTTGGAAAGGAGAGAAGCATTTTTGCTTAGTAAATAATAATCTCTGTGCTTTGCATCTTCCTCTTGATGAGCTCTCCTGGTACCCATTTGTGAAGCTTCACAGCAGCCCAACAAGTGGCCCGGTGGCATTACCGTTGGGGAAACGGGTGTCTTTGCTAGAGAGGCATCCAATTCTGACCTCTGTACCCCATTAAAAAGAGACTCCAGTCATTTTTGCACAGTCCTTTTTGGCAAAATGTCTAAGAGGCAGGGTGCAGAGATGAGGGGACCACCTGGATGGAGGAGATGGGGGCAGGAGGTGTATTTGGTACCTGAAAGAGAATAGCTGTGTGTGGGGGGGAAAGGTCAAATTGTCACATCCTAAAGACAGTGCTTCAGGTAAGGGAGGGGAAGGCCCCAAAGTGAGTTGCCTTCCCAAGGCTATCTACATTGCAGTTTCCATCTCATGCAGGCTGAGCTTCAGCTGAGTGAGATCTTCCTTTCAGGAAAGCCAGCCCAGCCTGGAAAATGGCATCCAGGCAGGAGATGGCCAGCACCAGGGCTCTTGTGGCTGCTGAGATGAGGAGCAGCACAACTAATCAATCTGCCCTTTGTCCCCAGCCAGCAGTGAGCTGGGGAACCAGGGACAGGAGAGAGCAGAGACTCCTCTCAGGTTATCATCGCCAGCCATGCAATTAACCAGCCTGAGTGTGAGGACTCCTGACACGGTACCCAGAGGGAGTCATTAGCATGTGTCATATCACTGAGTGCTGCATAAGGTTACAGTCCCTCTCTCTACTTCTGTGAGCAACATTTTGGGCTTGTGCGAAGGCCTTTGTTGCTTTCGGCACCATCTCATGGGCTCCCCATCACCACCAGCAGCAGGGAAGTGCAGGAGAAGTTGCCCTGGGGAGGAGGAAAGGGAGGAACACGCTTCACTTTTGGATCTCCTCCCTTAACCCCCTCTTCTCACCCATTTGCAGGACGGTGGGAAGCAGCTGCTTGACGGGCTGGCAGATAACAAGGTTTTGACCGAGTTCGATCTCCGCCTGGCAGAGGTGGGCCAGGAGACCGAGTACCTCATTCACCAAATTGTGTGGGCCAACCGGGATGCGGCAAGGCTGGGGTCTCTGCAGCAACCCTCTGCCACGCTCCTCTGAAGAAAACGCTCCAGAGAGCAATGAGATTTGCAGGTGCAGTGTTGGAGGCTTGTTTTCATTCGTATTCCTGAGAAACACTCAACTTGTGGCTGTCACAGGAGCAGCCTTTCCTAGATCTCCGTCATCCAACCTATGACTTCACACACGACCAGGCATTAGACCTCATGGGACTGTAGCAGCGTTGCAGAAGCAAATTGCCTCTTGAGCTCTCTCCCTCACTGTACCCAAGACTAAATCTTACATGCTCCGGCAGCAAGTTCAGGCAACTGGATGTTGTTCTACCTATAACACAGCTGAGGCAAAGTCTCCACCATCTAATGGTCTAGTCGAGACCCAACCTTCAGGGAAAACAACTATTTTAGGCTTTTTCCTGAGGAGGATGTGAGGTGCACAGATGATACAGGGAATGTCGTTTCTAGTTCCTCAGCAGCTTTTCCTGGGTATTGCCATTTATTTGTTTACTCAATTCTATAGCAAAACCTCTCTGGAGTCTCAGATATAGGTAGTGAAAAGTAAAAAAAAAAAATAAATTTGATAAATGATAGGTCTCTCCACCAGTTTCCTGCTTTGGGTTGCTAAGCTGCTGGTCAGTGCTAGCCTCCTTTGCAACCAGATGCTCACCAGCATCACCACATCTTCCATGCAAATTGGTCAAAAAGAAATATCTGTGTTTTACATGACTTCAAGCCAGAGGGGTTCCTGCAGGACTGCTGGCCCACAGAGCTGAAAATGGATCAGCTTCCTCCTGTCCCACGGGCTGTGGCCACCTGGGGACTGGAGACGGCACGTACCCAGTTGCCTCAGGAGAGGTCAGCAGGGAATTAAGCAAAGGGGCCCGACCTCCATCCCCTCCCACCCTCTGAGCAATGCAGGGGCTTCACGTCTCCCAGCCCTGCCCGGCACCAGCGCCCACAGACCCACCGCTGGCAGCCACCTCAGTGAATCATCCGAAACTTTTATTACACCGATTTGGTTTACAATCTTTGTACTTTGATATTTCCAACAAAAAAGGCAACATTGTGATATACTGTTTGTACATATATAGAGAGAGACAGACAGAGCTAGATCATATTGACAGAGTTGAAAAGTAAAAACTTGTTTCCCAGTGCTCACAAAAGAATTTGTTCGCCACGTACCCGCTTCTGCCTTGCTCTGCCGGATGGATACCGACGCCTGCGGCGCCGCCGGCCCCCGGCCGACAGGACCTTTACCTGTGCCATGTCACCCCCTTATAGATCAGAAAGGATGGAGTGTGAGGCTGTCCCTGGAGGCGGTGGCCACAGAAGGGGTGCCAACAGGGCTCAGCCCCAAGCCCTCGCAGGTCTGTGTAGCTCCCTTCCCAACTATTCATGGATGCTCCAGGGGCTACGTCCACCAGCATATCTAACTGGTGGCAGCAGCTGTGAAACCTCCCCACCCAAGCATCTCCCGCTACTTGTTTCCCATCCTCGAGACCGAGGTATTGAATAGATTTATTTCTTTTTATTTGCATTTACAAAATATTTTCACTGAATGACACACCTGAATGAGATGAGAACTCGTGTTCAGAAACAGCAGAAAAGACCCAGATCAGCATCAGGCCAATGAAGGAACAGCTCCAGCAGCGAGGGTGGGGGCTTAATGGGGGTGGCCTGGTCCTGGGCAAGCCTGCCTGTAGCTCCAAGTACAGGGCTGCGTCTGGTCAGCCAGTTGTGCAATGAAAGCTCGTGCTGGGAGGGCAGCGATGAGATCCCTCAGACATGCTAGTGGACACATGAGGAGGAACTGGCCACCAGAGCCAGTGAGGAACAGAGATGGGAAGGGCCTGGGAAAACATATCAACCCCAAAACAATTGCTGACTTGCTTTCCAGGATACTCATTGCTTCTCTTCCTGCAAATGGCCAAGACTGTTAACATACCTCTTGAGCATCCTCCAAACATACTCTTGGGCTGCCACATACAGGAACACCTAGACAGGTAGCTGCTGCCTGGAAAACCCTTTGCCTTCCCTCCCACCAGTCTCTTGGCCAAAGAGCAAAGTCCAAACCAAGCAGCCTGCACCCCTCGCTCACACCCAGGAATGACTATCTGCCAGTTTACAAGGGCTCGAACCATCCCAAATGCCACACAAGCTGGTAAAAATGACAGCCCTGTCAGCAACAGCAGATTGAGTGTGAACTCTCCCATCACTGATGGGTCACTTGTCACCTTCAGGTCTGGTTACCGAGGTGTGGGACTACCCACACCACTCCATGCTGGGAAGGGCATGTGCCAGCACAGGGCCAGTATGGAGCCCTTAGCTCTCCAGGGAGATCCATACCCAAAGAATACTGTGGGGCTTTGAGGAGGGGGGCTCAGCTGTGGGCCTCCATCTGGAGAAGGAAACAACCTCCGGCGTCTTGCTTGGGAGCTGGTGTCCCCTCTCGCCACCATCTGCTGATGCAGCATGAGCAGCACTCGGTGGCACTCAGCAGCAGAGGGACTCCAGCCAAACTAGGAGCATCCCCCCACCCGTGGGTCCGTGCCAGAGCGATGGTGTAGGGGGGGAGACAGGGGAGTGGTTGGGTATTAAAGGAGAGGGAATGACACAAGGGCTTTCACTTCGACGACCCCATCGGGCCGGAGCAGGGACACCCGGCTGTCTCCCTCCCGCAGCAGATGGCGGGCCCTGCTTCTGCTGCTCTGAGCGGCGGCAGGAGCCGGTGGCCGGCTTCCCGAGCCTGGCGACTTCTGCTCACAGCAACCCAGGCATCGATTTGCAAGGTGTCACACTGGCATATGTTGTAAACAGGACGACAGGTTGATTGCGAGCACCGACTGGGGGTGGGGGAGCGGGCTGCAGTGGGGACGGGCAGAGGCTGTGCATGGAAATGGCTGCTGCCTTCAGCCTCCCCCTGTGCCGATGGGGCTGGATTTGTCCACGCCGAGCTTCTGTCCCTGCCTGCTCCGTACCTGCTGGCCCTCTGCAGAGCCACCCCAGGTGCTGGTGGTTGGGGTTCAAGAGCAGGGGGGAAAAGGGAGGTCCTGTGCACTGCCCCCGGGACAGCCTAGTAGAGCCGTATCTCCAGATGGGGTGAGGGCTTGGGCTGGGGCAGCCTCGGAGCATTTCCAGGTTGCCTCTTATAGGGCCAAACTATGACACTGAATTGGGGAGTAAAGGGCAAATTTATAAAACATGGTTCCAAGTTCTACTGGCCTGAAACACGTCTGGGCCTGAAACACCCCAGACAACTGACACAAGCTCTCCTGATTGCTGGGGACCCGCTGCTTTACCCCATTGACACCTACTCAACCCATGCCCTGTGTGCAGCAGCCTCCTTCCAAAACCCCTCACCAACTATCCCTGGCCACGGCGCACACGCCCCGTTGACAGGGCACTTTTGGCTAACCCAGACCCTCTCCTGCTTCTTCCTTCAGTCGCAGTGAGGAGGGATGAAGCCTGAGCTCATGCAGCTGGGAAGCTGAGGAGCAGCGCAGAGCCAAGCCCTGCATCGGCTTCCCTAGGCAGAGGGGACAGCTCAGAAATGAAGCAGTTCCTCCTCCCTACAGGCTGTGCCTGAAATAGCCGAGCCTGTCAGATCCCCGTCCCCGGCCGTGATGGATTAGCCTCTCCAAGGCACAAGGCAATTTATTCATTAGTGACATTTACACCTTGTGGCTGCATTACCCATTGTGGTTTTGGTGACACGTGCTCGAGCTGTCAGTGCTGGGCTTGGAGGCAACATCGCTGCTCTGATGATGCAGCGAAGCTTGGCCTGGGCACCTCAGCTTGGAAATACCTCCTGCCTGCCTCCTCGCCAGAACATGCTTTGAAAGACTACTTTGCTCTTGGGATTCTCCATCAAATGCCCCATCCCCTCTCTTTGCCCAACGCTCCCCCCCCAACCCTCCCTCCCTTGCAGCATCACTGCTCCAGCACAGTGCCCTCCTGCCCTGTCTTGCATCATGTCTCCTGCAAAACCCACCACATCTGCAAAGCTTTTTACAGCTGTTCTCGTACAGCCCCTCCTCTCCACACATCTTGCTGAGCATGTAGACACTATTCTGCCCTCCTCAGCTAGCTCTTCCATTGGCTGTGCCTTGTTCAGCCCACAGCAAAGCTGCCCTCGGTCCCAGAGAAGCAGCACAGAGCCCACATTGGGAGATCACCCAGCAGACACGCTGCTTTCACCACAACGCTGTCCCCTGGTCCCACACGGCCACAACAGCCAACCTGCCTCTCCTCCCCAGGGACAGCACCAGGGCTCTGGAGATCAGGACCACTAAAACGTCAAGGGCTTCTCATTTCTAACTTCGATCCGTTGAACTTACCCTGTCTACAAAAGCTCAGACAAGTGCCATGAAATTCTCAGGGAAAACACGAAGTGATGCAAAAGTGAGGCCAGGCTGTGCAGCAACGCTCTGCAGACTGTGCTGTCCCTCCACCAGGCAAGCACGAGGCACACCAGGGCAGGCAGCATTGTTGGAAGGCCATGCACAGGTAAACCCAGGGGATATGGTGAGGTCTGGCCATCAGCATGTCTGAGGTCATCACCCAATCCACCGTCTGACAGTTTGCACATCAGGTTTGGGGAGGGTGAGAAGAGCAGGGGAGTGTTGGCCAGGGAGCAGATCCAGCAGCTCTCTCATTTCAGTCAGTCAGGCAAGGGATTAGCTTGTTCTCAAACACAGCTTGCTCCGTGCTTTTATCCCTGCTCCCTGCCACTTGCTGCAGCAAATGTGACACTTCACACCATCTCCTCTCAAAAACCAGGTCAGGAGTTTCCTCTCACGAGCAACAAGCAATGCTCTGTCACCCTGCAAAGCCCTCGCCACGAGGATGGATGGGTGACACCAGACCAAAGCCACCAGACACCAACCCTCCCCAGGGCCACGGGTCCCAGCACGCAGAAGCCCACCCTGCCACACACACACGCTTGGGTGGATGGCCAGGTCACACCTCCAGGGGCAGAGGAAGATTTTAAACTCCAGCCTCTGCTCCTGATCAGCCTACCCCCCTGCGAAGACACAGGGCCACCATCCCAGTCTTCCTTGAGCATTTATTTTTTCCACCGGCACTGCACATTTCTAACAGAGCTGGCTGAAGTGGAGTCTTTAAACCCACCTCATCATCAAAAATTAAATTTTTAAAGCAAGGAACAGCAACCTGAAACACTCCTCACAGCTGTTAAGGGCTACTAGTCTCGTTTCAGTTTGAAAAAGCCGTTGGCATTTCCAAAGTGAAATCCTGTTATTTTGGGGTCTAGTTGCCACATCTTTATTCCCAATTGGCTGAGCGGTGCTGTGAATGCTGCTTCATCAGGGGTGCCCTCACCTCCCTTCCCCTCCGCCCAGCTCCCCTGGGAGGGCAGGGGCAGCACAAACCGAGCCCACCAGCTTCTGGCTGGGCTGAGCAGGAGG